ATCGAAAACGGCGTTTAATTAATTACACCCATTAACAACAGCTCTTAATTAATTAGACCTATCGAAAATGGTGTTTAATTAATTACACCCATTAACAACAGCTCTTAATTAATTACACCTATCGAAAACGTTGTTTAATTAATTACACCCATCGAAAATGGTCCTTAATTAATTACACCCATGGAAAATCGCTTTTAATTAATTACACCCATTAACAACGGTTCTTAATTAATTACACCTATCAAAAAGGGTTCTTAATTAATTACACCCATCGACAATGGCGCTTAATTAGTTACACCCATCCAAAATGGTGCTTAATTAATTACACCCATCGAAAATGGCGGTTAATTAATTACACCTATCAAAAATGGTTCTTAATTATTTACAGCCATTGAAAATAGTTTTTAATTAATTACACCCATAAAAAATGGCGTTTAATGAATTACACCCATCGACAACAGCTCTTAATGAATTACACCCATCAAAAACGGCGTTTAATTAATTACACCCATTAACAACACCGCTTAATTAATTACACCTATCGAAAATGGTGTTTAATTAATTACACCCATTAACAACAGCTCTTAATTAATTACACCTATCAAAAACGGTGTTTAATTAATTACACCCATCGAAAATGGTCCTTAATTATTTACACCCATCGAAAATTGTGCATAATTAATTACACCATCAACAATGGCGTTTAATTAATTACACCCATCAACGGCGGCTCTTAATGAATTACACCCATCCAAAATGGCGCTTAATTAATTGCATCCATCGATAAAATGTTTTTAATTAATTACACCTATAAAAGTGGTTATTAATTATTTACAGCCACCGAAAATGGTTTTTAATTAATTACACCCATCGAAAAAGGTGCTTAATTAATTACACCCATAAAAAATGGTGTTTAATGAATTACACCTATCGAAAATGGTTTTTAATTAATTACACCCATCTAAATTGGCTCTTAATTAATTACACCCATCGAAAATCGCTTTTAATTAATTACACCCATCAACAACTGTTCTTAATTAATTACACCTATCAAAAATGGTTCTTAATTAATTACACCCATTGAATATGGTTCTTAATTAATTACACCCATCGACAATGGCGCTTAATTAGTTACACCCATCGACAATGGCGCTTAATTAATTACACCCATCTAAAATGGCGCTTAATTAATTACACCTATCAAAAATGGTTCTTAATTATTTACAGCCATTGAAAATAGTTTTTAATTAATTGCACCCATAAAAATTGGCGTTTAATGAATTACACCCATCGACAACAGCTCTTAATGAATTACACCCATCGAAAATGGCGTTTAATTAATTACACCCATTAACAACAGCTCTTAATTAATTACACCTATCGAAAATAATGCTTAATTAATTACACCCATCGAAAATGGTCCTTAATTATTTACACCCATCGAAAATTGTGCATAATTAATTACACCATCAACAACGGCGTTTAATTAATTACACCCATCACCGGCGGTTCTTAATGAATTTCACCCATCCAAAATGGCACTTAATTAATTGCATCCATCCAAAAATGTTTTTTAATTAATTACACCTATAAAAAATGGTTCTTAATTATTTACAGCCATCGAAAATGGTTTTTAATTAATTACACCCATCGAAAATGGTGCTTAATTAATTACACCCATAAAAAATGGTGTTTAATGAATTACACCTATCGAAAATGGTTTTTAATTAATTACACCCATCAAAATTGGCTCTTAATGAATTACACCCATCGAAAATCGCTTTTTATTAATTACACCTATCAAAAAGGGTTCTTAATTAATTACACCCATCGAATATGGTTCTTAATGAATTACACCCATCGACAATGGCGCTTAATTAGTTACACCCATCCAAAATGGCGCTTAATTAATTACACCCATCTAAAATGGCGGTTAATTAATTACACCTATCAAAAATGGTTATTAATTATTTACAGCCATTGAGAATAGTTTTTAATTAATTACACCCATAAAAATTGGCGTTTAATGAATTACACCCATCGACAACGGCGTTTAATTAATTACACCCATTAACAACACCGCTTAATTAATTACACCTATTGAAAATGGCGCTTAATTAATTACACCCATCAAAAATGGTTCTTAATTAATTACACCCCTCCAAAATGGCTCTTAATGAATTACACCCATCAACAATGGCGGTTAATTGATTACACCCAATCAACCCCACCTCGGGACGGGGACATGGGGGGACAGTGGGGACACTGGGGACACATTGGGGACATTGGGGGACACTGGGGACACTGGGGGACACTGGGGGACACGGGGGAAACTGGGGACATTTGGGGACATTGGGGACATTTGGGGACATTGTGGGGACATTTGGGGACACTGGGGGGCACGGGGTCACCCTGTGCCTGTGTCACTGCCCCAGGGAGTGTCCCCAATGTCCCCCAGTGTCCCCCCAATTGTCCCAGGTCCTCCCTTATGTCCCCTGTGTCACCAAGGGCTCCCTGTCCCCCTGTGTCACCCCCCCTGTCCCCATGTCCCCACTGTGCCCATGGCTCTGGTGTCCCCAAGGTCCCAATGTCCCCAGTGTCCCTTCAGTGTCCCCAGTGTCCCCACGGTCCCCACTGTCCCCTCAGTGTCCCCACTGTCTCCAATATCCCCCCAATGTCCCCAATATTCCCCCAATGTCCCTATGTCCCCTCAGTGTCCCTTCAGTGTCCCCAGGGTCCCTCCAATGGGACAGAGGTGACATAAAGAGGAGACACTGAGGGGACACAGAGGGGACATTGTGGGGACATTGTGGACAGTGGGGAGTTTGGGACACTGGGGACACTGAGAGGACATTGGGGACACTGAGGGGGACACTGAGAGGACACAGAGGGACATTGGGGACACTGAGGGGACACAGGGACATGGAGGGGACATTGGGGACACTGAGGACACAGAGGGGACATTGGGGACACTGAGGGGACACAGGGACATGGAGGAGACATTGGGGACATTGGGGATATTGGGGACATTGGGGACACTGAGGGGTCAGAGGGGACATGGAGGGGACATTGGGGACACTGAGGACACAGAGGGGACATTGGGGACACTGAGGGGACACAGGAACATGGAGGGGACATTGGGGGATATTGGGGACATTGGGGACACTGAGGGGTCAAGGGACACAGAGGGGACACAGGGCACTGAAGGGACACAGAAGGGACATTGGGGACACTGGGGGACACAGAGGGGACACAGAGGGGACATTGGGGACACTGAGATGATGGGGAGGGGACACAGAGGGGACAAAGGAGGGACATACAGGGGACACTGAGGGGACAGTGAAGGGACAGTGAGGGGACATTGGGGACAAAGGAGGGACACTGAGGGGACACAGAGGGACACAGAAGGGCACTGGGGACACAGAGGGACAGGGAACACAGAGGGGACATTGTGGACAGTGGGGAGTTGGGGACATTGGGGACACTGGGGACACAGGAGGGACATAGAGGGACATTGGGGACACATTGGGGACACATTGGTGACACATTGGGGGCACACTGAGGACGCAGAGGGACCCAGGACCCCCCGTGGGTGGCCCTGGGGCCGCGGGGACAGCGCTGTCCCCAAGGGCTGGGACAGGGGACAGCAGGGACACAGGGGAGAGAGCTAGGGATGGCCCCGAGGGACAGGAGGGGACACTGGGGACACTGAGGGGACATTGGGGACATTTAGGGACACTGAGGGGATATTGGGGGACATTGGGGAGAGCCAGGGGACACTGGGGGGACAGTGGGACACTGGGGGACAATTGGGGTGGCACTGGGTGCACTGGGGACACTGGGGGGACACTGGGGAGACACCCAGGGGACACTGGGGGACAATTGGGGTGGCACTGGGTGCACTGGGGGAACACTGGGGGACATTGGGGTGGCACTGGGGACACTGGGAGACACAGGGGGGACACTGAGGGGGCATTGGGGGCACTTGGGACAATGAAGGGACAGTGGGGGAAACTGAGGAGACACCGGGGGGACATTGAGGTGGCACTGGGGACACTGGGGACATTGGGGGGACATTGGGGACAATGAGGTGACACGGGGGGACACAAGGGGACAATTGGAGGACACTGAGGTGACACTGGCATGGCACTGGGGGGGCACTGGTGACGCTGGGGGGACATTGGGGGACACTGAAGGGACACTGGCGGACATTGGGGACATTGAGGACAGGCAGGGGACATTGGGGTGGCACTGGAGTGGCACTGGGGACACTGGGAGACACTGGGGGACAATTGGGGTAGCACTGGGGGGCACTGTAGACATTGGGGGGACATTGGGGACACTGGGGGTGACATTGGGGGCGACACTGGGGGTGGCACGAGTGACACAGGGGGGACATTGGGGGGCACTGGGGACATGTGGGGACAATGGGGACATTGGGGTGGCACTGAGGGGGCACTGGGGACACTGGGAGATAGTGGGGGGACACTGGGGGGCAATGGGGACACTGGGGGGCACTGGGATGGCACCGGAGGGGACACTGGGGGGACACTTGGGGGACATTGGGGGACATTGGGGACATTGGGGACATTGGGGTGGCACCGGGGCTGTCCCGAGTGACCCAGGGGCTGCCCCCCCCCCCCCCCCCCGGTCCCAGGTGTCCCCGGGGGGGGGGGGGTGTCACCCCGCGCCCCTCCCCCCCTCCCCGCAATGACGTCATTGCCGATCCGCGCCCCTCCCCCAGCCCAGCTGGCGGCCCAGGTGTTCCGGGGGGGCGGGGCGGGGGAGGGGGGGGGCTCACGGTGCCACCAGCTGTCCCCAATGTCCCCAATGTCCCCGCCCTGTCCCCCCGGGAGGGCGTGGCTTCACTCAGGGGGCGTGGCTTCACCGAGGGGGTGTGGCTTCACCGAGGACGGCGTGGCTTCACTGAGGGGGCGTGGCTTCACTCAAGGGGCGTGGCCTCACTGGCATAGCCCCGCCCTCCGCGCAGGCCGCGCTCCCAGCGCTTTACGGCGCTGTCGCTTTACGGCCGCGTTACGGCGGTGTCGTGCGGAGCACCGCGATCGCCCCAGGTCGGTCCCGAGGGGTCCCGGGGGGGTTTTTGGGGGTCCCTCCGTTCATCCACGGGCACCGGGAGCGCCCCGGCCGTGCCCCCAGACCCTGCCGGTGCCTTCCGCTCCTCCTGTGGGCGTTGCCGCGGCTCCGCAATCCCCGAGCGCTGCGGAGGGAGCGGGAGCCCTCAGAGACCCCCGGAGCCTTCGGGACCCCCTCAGACCCGGCCTAAACCCCCCCAGAGCCTCCTTAAGCTCCCGCAGACCGACCCTGAACCCCCTCAGACCCTTCCTAAACCCCCTCAGACCAACCATAAACCCCTCCAGACCCTCCTCAAACCCTCTCAGACCGACCCTAAACCCCCTCAGATCCCCATAAAGCCCCTCAGACCCTCCCGAACCCCCCTCAGACCCCCTGTAACTCTGTCTAGTTGGCCTCTACTCCCTTTAATCCGGCTCTGACCCTCCTTAAACCCCCTCAGACCCTCCCTAAATGCCCTGAGACCCACCCAGACCCTCCCTAAACCTCTCAGACCGACTCTAAACCCCCCCAGATTCCCCCTAAACCTCCTCAAACCCCCCTAAACCTCCTCAGACCTGCCCTAAACCCCTTCAGACCCTCCCTCAGTCCCCTCAAACGCTCCTTAAACCTCCTCAGAGTCCCCTAAACCCTCTCAGACCTCCCCTTAAGCCCCTCAGACCCACTCAAATCCCCCTCAGACCCTCCCTAAACTTCCTCAGATCCTCCCCAAACTTTCTCTGACCCTCCCTAAACCCCCTCAGACCCACCCTAAACCCCCTCAGAGCCTCCTTAAACTGCTTCAGACCCTCCCTAGACCCCCTCAGATCTCCGTAAGCCCCCTCACATCCTCCCTAAACCCCCTCAGACCCACCCTAAACCCCCTCAGAGGCCTCCTAAACCCCCTCAGACCTTCCCAAACCATCTCAGACCCTCCCTAAATCCCCCCAGACCCTCCCTACACCACTCAGACCTTCTCTAAACCCCTTCAGACGTTCTCTCAGCCCCCTCAAGCCCTCCCTAAACCCCCTCAGAGCCCCCCTAAAGCCCCTCAGACTCTCCCTAAACCCTCTCAGACATCCCCTAAACCCCCTCTGACCCTCCCTAAAGCCCCTCAGCCCCTGCTTTTGCCCAGTCTGGTTGCCCCCTACCCCCTTCAACCCCCCTGTACCCCCTCAAATCCCATCAGACCCTCCCTAAACCCCCTCAGACCCACACTAAACCCCCTCTGACCCACCCTAAACCCCCTCAGAGCCTCCTTAAACTGCTTCAGACCCTCCCTAACCCCCTCACATCTCCCTAAACCCCCTCAGATTATCCCTAAACCCTCTCAGACCTACTCTTAAACCCCCTCAGAGCCTCCTTAAACTGCTTCAGACCCTCCCCAAACCCCCTCAGACCCCTCTCAACCCCCTCTAACCCCACCCTCCTGCCCTCCTGACCCCATTTCTCCCCCCAGCCCACCATGGACTCCCGTTTCACCCGCGGCAAGTCCCCGGTGCTGGAGCGCGCCCTGGGCCGGCCCCGCTCCGAGCTCTCCCTGGCCGCCTTCGCCCTCCTGTTCTCGGAGCTGGTCCAGTACTGCCAGCGCCGCGTGGCCTCGGTGGCCGAGCTGCAGGCCCGCCTGGCCCAGCTGGGCCACCACGTGGGGCTGCGAGCCCTGGACGCTCTGGTGGCCCGCGAGAGGGCCCGGGAGACGCGAGACCAAAGTGCTGGGGGTGCTGCTGTTCGTCAAGGGCCCGCTGTGGCGGGCGCTGTTCGGGCGCGAGGCCGACAAGCTGGAGCAGGCCAACGACGACGAGCGCACGTTCTACGTGATCGAGAGGGAGCCCGTGGTGAACACGTTCGTGTCGGTGCCGCGCGAGAACAGCTCCCTGAACTGCGCCGCCTTCGCCGCCGGGCTCCTGGAGGCCGTGCTGGGCGCCGCCGGCTTCCCCGCCCGCGTCAGCGCCCACTGGCACAAGGGCACCACGCTCATGATCAAGTTCGACGAAGCCGTGATCGCCCGCGACAAGAGCCTGGAGGGACGCTGAGATGAGGGGGGGAACAGGACTTGGGGTGGGAGGGATGGGGACGCTGTGGAGGGACGCTGAGATGAGGGGGGACATGGAGACATGGGGTGGGAACAGCCTGGAGGGACGCTGAGACACGGGGGGACACCAGGACTTGGGGGTGGGAGGGATGGGGACACTGTGGAACAGGGCTGTGAGGGATGGGCACAGCCTGGAGGGACGCTGAGACATGGGGGGACAGCCTGGAGAGGGATGGGGACATGGGGCTATGAAGGATGGGGACAGCCTGGAGGGACACTGAGACACAGGGGGGACATGGGGACTTGGGGGTGGGAGGGATGGGGACATGGGGGATGTGGGGCTGGGAGGGATGGGGACAGCCTGGAGGGATGCTGAGATTGGGGTGACAGCCTGGAGGGACACTGAGACATGGGGGGACATGGGGACTTGGGGGTGGGAGGGATGGGGACACTGTGGGACAGGGCTGTGATGGACAGGGACAGCCTGGAGAGGGATGGGGACAGCATGGCCTTGTCACCCAGTGTCACAGGAGCAGGGCTGTGAGGGATGGGGACACCAAGGCCTTGTCACCCAGTGCCATGGGGACACAGGGACACGGCAGTGAGGGACAGGGCAGCCCCGAGGCCGTGCTGGGCGCCGCCGGCTTCCCCGCCCGCGTCAGCGCCCACTGGCACAAGGGCACCACGCTCATGATCAAGTTCGACGAGGCCGTGATCGCCCGCGACAAGAGCCTGGAGGGACGCTGAGATGAGGGGGGACACCAGGACTTGGGGTGGGAGGGATGGGGACAGCCTGGACGGACGCTGAGATGAGGGGGGGACAGCATGGAGAGGGATGGGGACAGCCTGGAGGGACGCTGAGATGAGGGGGGGACAGCCTGGAGAGGGATGGGGACATGGGGGATGTGGGGTTGGGAGGGATGGGGACACTGTGGAACAGGGCTGTGAGGGATGGGGACACTGTGGAGGGACGCTGAGATGAGGGGGGACACCAGGACTTGGGGGTGGGAGGGATGGGGACAGCCTGGAGAGGGATGGGCACAGCCTGAGGGACGCTGAGATGAGGGGGGACACCAGGACTTGGAGGTGGGAGGGATGGGGACACTGTGGAACAGGGCTGTGAGGGATGGGCACAGCCTGGAGAGGGATGGGCACAGCCTGGAGGGACGTTGAGACATGGGGGGACACGGGGACATGGGGTGGGGACAGCCTGGAGGGACACTGAGACATGGGGGGACACCAGGACTTGGGGGTGGGAGGGATGGGGACAGCCTGGAGAGGGATGGGGACATGGGGGATGTGGGGTTGGGAGGGAAGGGACAGCCTGGAGGGGCACTGAGACATGGGGGGACATGGGGGATGTGGGGCTGGGAGGGATGGGGACACGGTGGGACAGGGCTATGAGGGATGGGGACAGCCTGGAGAGGGATGGGGACACCATGGCCTTGTCACCCAGTGTCACAGGAGCAGGGCTGTGAGGGGCAGGGACAGCATGGCCTTGTCACCCAGTGCCATGGGGACACAGGGACACGGCAGTGAGGGACAGGGCAGCCCCGAGGCCGTGCTGGGCGCCGCCGGCTTCCCCGCCCGCGTCAGCGCCCACTGGCACAAGGGCACCACGCTCATGATCAAGTTCGACGAGGCCGTGATCGCCCGCGACAAGAGCCTGGAGGGACGCTGAGATGAGGGGGGGACACCAGGACTTGGGGGTGGGAGGGATGGGGACAGCCTGGAGAGGGATGGAGACAGCCTGGAGGGACACTGAGACATGGGGGGACAGCCTGGAGAGGGATGGGGACAGCCTGGAGGGGCGCTGAGATTGGGGTGACAGCCTGGAGGGACACTGAGATGAGGTGGGGACACCAGGACTTGGGGGTGGGGGGGATGGGGACAGCCTGGAGGGACGCTGAGACATGGGGGACAGCATGGAGAAGGATGGGGACACCAGGACTTGGGGTGGGAGGGATGGGGACAGCCTGGAGGGACACTGAGATGAGGGGGGGACAGCATGGAGAGGGATGGGGACATGGGGGATGTGGGGTTGGGAGGGATGGGGACACTGTGGAACAGGGCTGTGAGGGATGGGGACAGCCTGGAGGGACACTGAGATGAGGGGGGACACCAGGACTTGGGGTGGGAGGAATGGGGACAGCCTGGAGAGGGATGGGGACAGCCTGGAGGGACGCTGAGATTGGGGTGACAGCCTGGAGGGACACTGAGACACGGGGGGGACATGGGGACATGGGGCTGGGAGGGATGGGGACACTGTGGGACAGGGCTGTGAGGGACAGGGACAGCCTGGAGAGGGATGGGGACTTGGGGGACAGGGCTGTGAACCAAGGGGACAGCCTGGAGAGAGATGAGGACATCACAACATTGTCACACAGTGTGACAGGGACAGGGCTGTGAGGGACAGGGACAGCCTGGAGAGGGACGGGGACAGCCTGGCCTTGTCCCACAGTGTCACAGGGACAGGGCTGTGAGGGACAGGGACAGCATGGAGAGGGATGGGGACACAGAGGCAGAGCAGTGACAGAGGGGACAGAGCATGGAGAGGGACAGGGACAGCATGGCCTTGTCACCCAGTGCCATGGGGACATAGGGACATGGCGGTGAAGGACAGGGATGGCCTGGAGAGGGACAGGGACAGCCTGGCCTTGTCACACAGTGTCACAGGGACAGGGCTAAGAAGGATGGGGACACAGGGGACAGGGCTGTGATAGAGGGGACAGGGCCTGGAGAGGGATGGGGACACAGGGACATTGGGACAGGGACATTGTGGGATGGGGACATTGGGGACAGGGACACGGGGACAGGGCTGTGGGGGACAGGGACATTGTGGGAGGAGGACATTGGAGATGGGGACATTGGGGACAGGGACATTGTGGGATGGGGACATTGGAGATGGGGGCATTGGGGACAGGGACATTGTGGGATGGGGACATTGGAGATGGGGACACTGGGACAGGGACATTGTGGGATGGGGACAGCACAGCCATGTCACTCGTCGTTCCTCAAGGGATGGTGGCCTTTGGGGACATTGGAACTGCGCTGTGTCCCTCACCTGTTCTTGTGTCCCCGGGGTGGCCTTTGGGGACATCAGAGCTCCTTGGTGTCCCTCAGCTTAGGTGGCCCTTGGGGACATCAGAGCTGCTCTGTGTCCCTTGTTCCTGTCCTCAAGGTGACCTTTGGGGACATTGGAGCCACTTTGTGTCCCTCACTGTGTTTGTGTCCCCATGGTGGCCCTTGGGGACATCAGAGCTCCTTGGTGTCCCTCAGCTTAGGTGGCCCTTGGGGACATTGGAGCCGCTCTGTTCCCTTTGGTTTTGTCCCTGAGGTGGCCTTTGGGGACATCAGAGCTCATTTGTGTCCCTCAGCTCTGTTCCTGTCCCCGAGGTGGCCCCTGGGGACACTCGTGTCACCATAAACCGCGTTTGTCACTCCCGTGGCCTCGTCTCTTCTTTATCTGGGGACATTTTGGGGTGGCTTCCGTGTCCCCAATGTGTCCCCTGTGTCCCTTGGAGCCCTGTGGGGACACCTGCCACCCCCTTGGGGACAGAAGGACACCTGCCACCCCCCTTGGGGACAGAAGGACACCTGCCACACCCCTTGGGGACAGAAGGACACCTGCCACACCCCTTGGGGACATCACGGTGTCCCCTGCTGGGGATGTCCCAGTGCCCCTGGTGCCACCACCCTGGGACCCCCCCAGTGCCATCGTTGTCCCCGTGTGACCCCAGACTGGGGGGACTGGGGGAGTTTGGGGTGGATTTGGGGTCTGGGGAGTTTGGGGTGGGGGTTTGGGGTTTCTTGGGGGGTTTGGGGGGATTTTTTTGGGGTTTTTCGAGGGTTTTTTTGCAAGGCAGGGTTGGGATTTTTTTTGAATTTTTGGGGTTTTTTAAGGTTTTTATGGGGAGATTTTTGGGGTTTTTTAAGGTTTTTATGGGGAGATTTTTTGGGGGTTTTTAAGGTTTTTTTGGGGAGATTTTTTGGGGGTTTTTAAGGTTTTTTTGGGGAGATTTTTTTGGTTTTTTGTTTTCTTTTTGGTTTTGGAGGTTTTTTTTTGGTCTTAAAGGTTATTTAGGGGTTTCTGGGGGATTTTTTAGGGTTTGGGTTTTTTTGAGGGGGGTGGGTTCTTTTGGGGTTTTTTTGGTTTTTTTTTTGCTGAGGTTTTTTGGTTTGTTTTGTTTTTGTGTTTTTGGGGCTTTTTTAATGTTTTTTGTGGGGGGTTTGGGGTTATTTTGGGAGGATTTTTTCTTTTTTTTGTGGTTTTTTTAGTTTGTTCTGGGGGGGTTGGGGTTTTTTGGGCTTTTTTTGGAGTTTTTTTTGAGGTTTTTGTTTGAGGTTTTTTTGGGGTTTGTTTGGGTTTTTTTAAAGTTTTTTTAGGGGTTTCAAGGGGATTTTTTTGGGTTTTGGGGGGATAGGGTTTTTTTTTTATTTTGTGTTTTTTTCGTGAGGTTTTTTGTTGTTTGTTTTATTTTTGTGTTTTGGGGCTTTTTTAGTGTTTTTTGTGGGGTTTTGGGTTTTTTTGGCAGGATTTTTTCTTTTTTTTGTTTTTTTTTTTTAGTTTGTTCTGGGGGGGTTGGAGAGGTTTTTTTGAAGTTTTGGGTCGGTTTTTTTTTTGTTTTTTGTGGGTTTTTTGGGGGGCGCTCAGCGACGCTTTCCGATCCTCCCCGTCACCAGGGGGCGCCGCGGTGCCGCCTCCCCTTCACTGCCCTTCCACCATTTCCGCTTCCGGTTCTCGGCATTTCCGGTTCAGCCGCCATTTTCATAGTCCCTTCACAGCCCACCCACCACTTCCGCTTCCGGTTTTCGGAACTTCCGGTTCCGCCGCCATTTTCATCGCCGCCAGGCCGGGCCTGGAGCCGCCGCCGCCGCCATGGGCGCTCACCTGGGCCGGCGCTACCTGTGGGACGCCGAGGCCGAGCCCGACCCGCTGCACATGCCCTCCTTCCCCGCCCAGCTGGGCATGCCGGCCCGCCAGCCGCGCGGTCAGTGCGGGGACACCGCGACAGGGGGACACGGGGACAGGGGGACACGGGGGGAGCGCGGTGGCCTTGGGGTGTCCCCGCCCTCGCGTGACCTCCCGTGCGTCCCCCCCTGCGTGTGATTCCCGGTGCTACCCCCGTGTCCCCACCGCTGTCCTCAGCCCTGTCACACCCCTGTCCCCAGGTGCCACACGAGTGTCGCTGTCCCTGCATTGCCACCCCGTGTTCGCGCTCTGTCACACCCTGTCCCCTGTTTGTCCCCATTCCCGGGTGGGTGCTGGGTGTCCTTGAGTGTCCCCTCTGTCCCAATGTCCTTGAGTGTCCTCGAATGTCCCCTCTCTGCCCCAGCCATGGTGGCCTCGGCAGCGCAGCTGTCCCTGGGTGCCCCTGGGTGTCCCTGACATTGTCCCCTTTGCCCCCTGTGTGTCCCAGCCATGGTGGCCTCAGCAGCCCAGCTGTTGGATGCCCGCATGTCCCTTGGTGTCCCTGGGTGTCCCTGGGTGTCCCTGGGTGTCCCTGGGTGTTCCTGGGTGCCCCTGACATTGTCACCTCTGTCCCCCAGCCATGGTGGCCTCAGCACTCCATCTGTCCCTGGGTGTCCCTGACTGTCATTGTCCCCTCTGTTCTCTCTCTGTGACAGTGATGGTGGCCTCAGCATTCCAGCTGTCCCTGGGTGTCCCTGGGTGTCCCTGACTGTCATTGTCCCTTCTGTCCTCTCTCTGGTGACAGTGATGGTGGCCTCGGCGTCCCAGCTGTCCCTGGGTGTCCCTGACTGTCATTGTCCCTTCTGTCCCCTCTCTCTGGTGACAGTGATGGTGGCCTCAGTATTCCAGCTGTCCCTGGGTGTGTCCCTGACTGTCCCTGTCCCTTCTCTCTGGTGACAGTGATGGTGGCTTCACCATTCAGCTGTCCCTGGGTGTGCCTGGGTGTCCCTGGGTGTCCCTGACTGTCATTGTCCCCTCTCTCTGGTGACAGTGATGGTGGCCTTGGTGTCCCAGCTGTCCCTGGGTGTCCCTGACTGTCATTGTCCCCTCTCTCTGGTGACAGTGATGGTGGCCTCGGCGTCCCAGCTCGCGGATGCCCGGGTGCCCCTGGAGCAGAGGGATTTCTGTGGGCACCACCTGCTGCGGCTGCTGCGCTGCCAACGGGACAACTTCCCTGTGCCCTGGGGGTGCCACGCGCTGCGCCACGCCTGGGACAGCTGCCAGCATGAGGAGTGAGTGACACTGGGGACATGGGGATGTTGGGGACATGGGGACAACTTCCCTGTGCCCTGGGGGTGCCACGCGCTGCGCCACGCCTGGGACAGCTGCCAGCACCAGGAGTGAGTGACACTGGGGACACTGGGGACATTGGGGACACTGGGGACATGGGGACACTGGGGACATTGGGGACATGGGGACAACTTCCCTGTGCCCTGGGGGTGCCACGCGCTGCGCCACGCCTGGGACAGCTGCCAGCACCAGGAGTGAGTGACACTGGGGACACTGGGGACACTGGGGACATGGGGACAACTTCCCTGTGCCCTGGGGGTGCCACGCTCCCCGCCACACCTGGGACAGCTGCCAGCATGAGGAGTGAGTGACACTGGGGACATGGGGACGTTGGGGACACGGGGACAACTTCCCTGTGCCCTGGGGGTGCCACGCGCTGCGCCACGCCTGGGACAGCTGCCAGCATGAGGAGTGAGTGACACTGGGGACACTGGGGACACTGGGGACACTGGGGACATGGGGACAACTTCCCTGTGCCCTGGGGGTGCCACGCGCTGCGCCACGCCTGGGACAGCTGCCAGCATGAGGAGTGAGTGACACTGGGGACACTGGGGACATTGGGGACATTGGGGACAACTTCCCTGTGCCCTGGGGGTGCCACGCGCTGCGCCACGCCTGGGACAGCTGCCAGCACCAGGAGTGAGTGACACTGGGGACATTGGGGACATTGGGGACATGGGGACAACTTCCCTGTGCCCTGGGGGTGCCACGCGCTGCGCCACGCCTGGGACAGCTGCCAGCATCAGGAGTGAGTGACAGGGACATCATTGGGGACATTGGGGATGGGGGGGGACATGGCTGGGACAGCTGCCAGCACCAGGAGTGAGTGACATTGGGGACATTGGGAACATTGGGGACACTGGGGACATTGGGGACATGGGGGTGCCATGATCTGCGCCACGCCTGGGACAGCTGCCAGCATGAGGAGTGAGTGACACTGGGGACACTGGGGACATTGGGGACACTGGGGACATGGGGGACATTGGGAACACTGGGGACATTGGGGACACTGGGGACATTGAGGGGGGACATGGCTGGGACAGCTGCCAGCACTGGGAGTAAGGGCCAGGACATTGGGGACATTGGGGACATTGGGGACATGGGGGGGGACATTGGGGGCATGGGAGGGACACGGCTGGGACAGCTGCCAGCACGAGGAATGGGACATGGGGACACAGGGACGTGTCTGGGGGGTGACAGGGACATGGGGCCACCATGGTGACACCCGCACCCACTGGTCGGTGGTGACACAGTGACACATAGTGACACATGGTGACAGGGTGACACACAGTGACACATGGTGACACAGTGACACGGTGCCATGCAGTGACACAGTGGTGACACGGTGACATGGTGACACACAGTGACACATGGTGACACAGTGGTGACACGTGACACACGGGGACTGTGCTGGGACCCTGTCCCAGCTATGTGATGACACACAGTGACACACGGTGACACCCAGTGACATGGTGACACACGGTGGTGACACACAGTGGTGACACACAGTGACATGGTGACACAGTGGTGACACACGGTGGTGACATGGTGTCCCCTGTCCCAGCTATGTGATGACACACAGTGACACACGGTGACACACGGTGACATGTGTCCCCTGTCCCAGCTATGTGATGACACACAGTGACACACGGTGACACACAGTGACACACGTGTCCCCTGTCCCAGCTATGTGATGACACACAGTGACACGTGGTGACACAGTGACACAGTGGTGACACACGGTGACACACGGTGGTGACACACGGTGATATGTGTCCCCTGTCCCAGCTATGTGATGACACAGTGACACACAGTGACACACGGTGACACACAGTGACACACAGTGACACACGGTGACACACGTGTCCCCTGTCCCAGCTATGTGATGACACACGGTGACACACAGTGACACACGGTGACACACGTGTCCCCTGTCCCAGCTATGTGATGACACACAGTGACACACAGTGACACACGACACAGTGACACACGTGTCCCCCTGTCCCAGCTATGTGATGACACACAGTGACACACGGTGACACACGGTGACACACGTGTCCCCCTGTCCCAGCTATGTGATGACACAGTGACATGGTGACACACGGTGACACACAGTGACACACGGTGACACACGGTGACACACAGTGACACACGGTGACACACGTGTCCCCTGTCCCAGCTATGTGATGCGCATGAAGGAGTTTGAGCGCGAGCGGCGCCTGCGGCTGCGGCAGCAACGGCTGAGACGGCGCCACGGGGACAGCGGGGACAGCGGGGGACAGCGAGTGACACATGGGGACACCATGGGGACAGCGGGGGACAGCGAGGGACACACGGGGACAGCGGGGACAGCGGGGACAGCGAGTGACACATGGGACACACGGGGACAGCGAGGGACACACGGGGACAGCGGGGACAGCGAGGGACACACGGACACAGCGGGGGGACAGCGGGGGACAGTGGAGACAACGAGTGACAGCGGGGACTTCAAGTGACACCCGACCAGCACCGAGTGACACCTGGGGACACCTGAGTGACACTGGCGACACCGAGTGACACCTGAGTGACACTGAGTGACACCTGAGTGACACCGAGTGACACCGGCAACACCGAGTGGCATCTGGGACACCGAGTGACACCCGAGGAACCGAGTGACACCTGAGTGACACCCAGGATGCCCAAGTGACACCGAGTGACACCTGAGTGACACCCGACTGATAGAGTGACACCGAGTGTCACCCCGGTGATGGTGACACAAGGCCATCCCCCCGCACAATAAAGCTGTCAAGTGACACCACAGTGACACCGAGTGACATCCAGGACACCCAAGTGATACCGAGTGACACTGGAAACACCAAGTGACATCTGGGACACCGAGTGACACCTGAGTGACACCGAGTGACACCCAAGGAACCGAGTGACACCTGAGTGACACCCAGGACACCCAAGTGACACCGAGTGACACCCGAGTGACACCGAGTGACACCTGAGTGACACCCGAGTGACACCTGAGTGACACCCGAGTGATACAGAGTGACATCGAGTGACACCCCGGTGACGGTGAGGCGAGGCCACCCCCCCGCACAATAAAGCTGTCAAGTGACACCACAGTGACACCGAGTGACATCCAGGACACCTGAATGACACCGAGTGACACCCTGGTGACAGTGACAACGAGGCCAGCACCCCCCCCCCCAATAAAGCTGTCGAGTGACACCCAAGTGACACCTGAGTGACACCAAGTGACACCCCAGTGACGGTGACAAAAGGCCACCCCCCACAATAAAGCTGTCAAGTGACACCCAAGTGACACTGAGTGACACCGAGTGACACCCCGGTGACAGTGACACCACGCTGGCTCGTCACTGCGTTGGGGACATCGCGACGCCACCACCCCCCCCCCCAGCCTGGGGACAGCGCAATTGTCCCCAGGGGTGGCCCTGACACCCCCCCGGTGTCCCCTGGGGAGGGACAATGACAGCCACACACGGGTGGGGGGGGATGGCATTTATTGTCACCTGAGGGACAGGGACAGGGGGTGGCACTGGGCAGGGGACACGGGGGGTGACACCGCGGTGTCACCAGGGGTGGCTTCGGGTGATGGGATGGGACCCTGGATGTGACACTGCCACCAGGGAGGGGACACTGCCACCACAGAGGGGACAGTGCCACCAGGGAGGGGACACTGCCATCCTGGAGGTGACACTGCCACTGGGGAAGGGACACCGGGGATGGGACCCTGGATGTGACACTGCCACCAGGGAGGTGACACTGCCACAGGGGAGGTGACACTGCCACTGCAGAGGGGACAGTGCCACCGGGGAGGGGACACTGGAGGTGCCAAGGGACAGTGGGGCCACACTCCCGTGTCCTGCTGTGACACCAGGGTGACAAAGGGCTCACGTCCCCTGTCCCCTCACTGTCCCCAAGGCTCAGGGCAGGACTGGCAGGGACACATCCCGGTGTCCCCAAGGTGTCCCAGGATGTGCCAGCGGGGAGGGGACACCGGGGGGCTGTCCCGGGGGCTGTCCCCAGGGCGGTGTCACAGCAGGAAGGGGACACTGGGGGACATTCCCGAGGTGTCACAGCAGGAAGGGGATGATGGGGGCTGTCCCCTCGGTGTCCCCTCGGTGTCCCCCAGGGCGGTGTCACAGCAGGAAGGGGACGATCCCAGGGCTGTCCCCGCGGTGTCACAGCAGGAAGGGGACACTGGGGGCTGTCCCCTCGGTTGTCCCTGTGGTGTCCCCTCGTTGTCACAGCAGGAAGGGGACAATCCCAGGGCTGTCCCCAGCGGTGTCACAGCAGGAAGGGGACACTGGGGGATGTCCCCGCGGTGTCCCCGTGGTGTCACAGCAGGAAGGGGACACTGGGGGGACATTCCCGTGGTGTCACAGCAGGAAGGGGATGATGGGCGATGTCCCCTCGGTGTCACAGCAGGAAGGGGACAATCCCAGGGCTGTCCCCAGGGCGGTGTCACAGCAGGAAGGGGACGATCCCAGGGCTGTCCCCTCGGTGTCACAGCAGGAAGGGGACGATCCCAGGGCTGTCCCCGTGGTGTCACAGCAGGAAGGGGACGATCCCAGGGCTGTCCCCAGGGCGGTGTCACAGCAGGAAGGGGACACTGGGGGATGTCCCCGCGCTGTCCCCTCGGTGTCACAGCAGGAAGGGGATGATGGGGGCTGTCCCCAGGGCTGTCCCCGTGGTGTCACAGCAGGAAGGGGATGATGGGCGAGCGCAGGGGCGGGTAATCGCGGAACTCGCGCAGGTAACTGCGGTGCTTGCCCTGCGCCCAGATCGCCATCTGCACAAACCCCACCAGCGAGAACAGCGCCACTGCGGGGACAGGGACAGCGCTGCACCGGGGGACACGGCGGGGACAGTGCTGCCCACCGCGGGACACCACAAAACCCACCCCAAATCCACCCAAAATCCACCCAAATCCAACACAAATCCACCCAAACCCACCAAAATCCACCCAAAATCCGACCCCAATCCACCCAAACCCACCAAAATCCACCCAAATCCACACAAATCCAGCACAAATCCACCCAAAACCCCTCAAAATCCACCTAAATCCACCCCAATCCAACACAAACCCACCCGAAATCCACCCAAAATCCAACACAAATCCACCCAAAATCCACCCAAATCCACCCCAATCCAACACAAACCCACCCCAAATCCACCAAATCCCCTCAAAATCCACCCCAATCAAACACAAACCCACCCGAAATCCACCCAAAATCACCCAAATCCAACACAAATCCAGCACAAATCCACCCGAAATCCACCCAAATCCAACACAAATCCCCTCAAAATCCCCCTAAATCCACTCCAATCCACCCCAAATCCACCCCAAACCCACCCAAAATCCCCCAAATCCACCAAAATCCACCCAAAATCCACCCAAATCCAACACAAATCCACCCAAAACCCACCCCAAAATCCACCCAAACCCCCTCAAAAATCCACCCCAATCCAACACAAATCCACCCCAAATCCCCTCCTAAATCCACCCCAATCCACCCAAATCCCCTCAAAGTCCCCCTAAATCCACCCAAATCCCCTCAAAATCCACCCAAATCCCCTCAAAATCCACCCAAATCCAACACAAACCCACCCGAAATCCACCCAAAATCCACCCAAATCAACACAAATGCACCCAAATCCCCTCAAAATCCCCCTAAATCCACCCCAATCCACCCAAATCCCCTCAAAGTCCCCCTAAATCCACCCCAATCCAACACAAATGCACCCAAAATCCACCCAAATCCCCTCAAAATCCACCCCTAAATCCAACACAAATCCACCCCAAATCCACCCAAATCCCCTCAAAATCCACCCCAATCCAACACAACTGCACCCCAAAATCCACCCCAAATCCCTCCTAAATCCACCCAAAATCCCTCAAAAATCCACCCCAAACCCACCCGAAATCCACCCAAATCCAACACAAATCCACCCCAAAATCCACCCCAAATCCCTCCTAAATCACCCCTAAATCCACCCCAAATTACCCCAAAATCCACCCCAAATCCACCCCAATCACCCCTAAATCCACCCAAATCCCCCTAAATCACCCCAAATCCCCCCAAAATCCCCCTAAATCTACCCCGATCCAACCCAAATCCACCCCAAAATTCCACTCGAATCCCCTCAAAAATCCACCCCAAATCCCCCTAAATCCACCCCAATCCAACACAAATCCCTCCAAAATTCACACCAAATCCACCCCAAATCCCCTCCAGATCCACCCCAAATCAACCCTAATCCACCAAAACCACCCCAAATCCCCCCAAATCCACCCTGAATCACCCCTAAATGTGCCCCAAATTCCCCCCAAATCACCCTAAACCCACCACAAATCCCCCAAAATCCACCCCAAATCCCTCCTAAATCCACCCCAAATCCCCCCAATCCAACCCAAATCCACCCAATTACCCCAAAATCCCCCCTAAATCACCCCAAAATCCACCAAATCCACCCCAAATCCCCCCAGATTACCCCGAAATCCACCCCAAATCCCCCCAGATTACCCCGAAATCCACCCCAAATCCACCCCAATCATCCCAAAATTCCCAAAAAATCCACCTCAAATCACCCCAAAATCCACCTGATCCACCCCAAACCCACCTAAATTACCCCCAAATTACCCCAAAATCCACCCAAAATCCACCCCAAATTCACCCAAGTCCACCCCCAAATTCACCCAAATCCACCCCAAATTACCCCAAAATCCACCCCAAATCCACCCCAAATTCACCCAAATCCACCCAAATCCACCCCAAATCCACCCCAAAATCCCCGAGGGCCCCAGAGTGGCACAGGAACAGGGAGAAAGGGGACACGGGGACCCCAGGGGTGGCACAGGGGACACAGAGCCGGGGTCTCCGGGGCGCCACCCCCTCCCTTGTCCCCTCCATGTCCCCTTGTGTCCCTCCCTTGTCCCCTCCATGTCCCCTTGTGTCCCTCCCTTGTCCCCTCCATGTCCCCCCTGTGTCCCCCTGTGTCCCCTCACCGGGCAGGCACTGGGTCATGATGGTGAAACCAATCCAGGAGCCGACCTGGGGGACAAAGGGGTACGGGGTGTCACCTGTGGGTGTCACCTGTGGGCAGTGTCACCTGTGGGCGGTGTCACCTGTGGGCGGTGTCACCTTTGGGGGGTGTCACCTGTGGGGGTGTCACCTGTGGGCAGTGTCACCTGTGCGGTGTCACCTGTGCGGTGTCACCTGTGGGCAGTGTCACCTTCGGGCAGTGTCACCTGTGCGGTGTCACCTGTGGGCGGTGTCACCTGTGGGCGGTGTCACCTGTGCAGTGTCACCTTTGGGTGGTGTCACCTGTGCGGTGTCACCTGTGGGTGTCACCTGTGGGTGTCACCTGTGGGCAGTGTCACCTATGGGCAGTGTCACCTTTGGGGTGTCACCTGTGGGCGGTGTCACCTGTGGGTAGTGTCACCTGTGGGTGTCACCTTTGGGCGGTGTCACCTGTGCGGTGTCACCTGTGGGCAGTGTCACCTGTGGGCAGTGTCACCTGTGGGTGTCACCTGTGGGTGGTGTCACCTGTGGGCAGTGTCACCTTTGGGCAGTGTCACCTTCGGGCAGTGTCACCTGTGGGCAGTGCCACCTTTGGGCAGTGTCACCTTCGGGCAGTGTCACCTTTGGGGTGTCCCCATCTTCCACTGTGGTGACAGTGATGTCCCCTCCTGTCCCCTCCCCCAGCACAGCGCTGTCCCCAGGGCCATGTCACCCCCAGGGCTGTCACACCCCCCAGGTGTCCTCAGGTGTCCCCCCAGGTGTCCCCAGGTGTCCCCAGGTGTCCCCCACCTCGTAGGTGTAGTTGGGGCAGGACACGAGCAGGAAGAGCCACGTGAACGGGTTCCGGGTGGGGTACGGGATCTTCCGGGTCTTGGAGCCTGCGGGGGACACGGGGGGACACCGGTGACACAGGGGACAGGGACACATGGGGACACCGGGGACACTGGTGACACAGGGGACACACAGGGACACACAGGGACACATGGGGACACACGGGGACACACGGGGACACTGGTGACACAGGGGACACACAGGGACACATGGGGACACAGTGACACACAGGGACACATGGGGACACCAGGGGACACTGGTGACACAGGGGACAGGGACACAGTGACACATGGGGACACGGGACAGTGACACAGTGACACACAGTGACACACGGGGACACAGTGACACAGGGGACAGGGACACGGGGACACAGTAACACAGGGACACATGGGGACACCAGGGGACACTGGTGACACAGGGGACAGGGACACACGGGGGGACACATGGGGGGACACTGGTGACAGCCCTGGACATGGGGACACACCGGTGACACCCCCAGGACACGTGTCACCCCCCCAGGCCACCCCCCCGGACAGCTGCCACCCTCTGTGTCCCCTCCATGTCCCTTCCATGTCCCCCTCCGTGTCCCCTTCTGTGTCCCCTTTGTGTCCTCTCCGTGTCCCCTCCTGTCCCTGCCAGCCCCCGGCTGCTCCCACGTGTCCTTGTGGCCTCTGCACCATCGTGTCCCCAATGTCCCCCTGTGTCCCCCAATGTCCCCTCATGTCCTCGATGTCCCCGTGTGCCCAGTGTCCCCACTGTCCCTGATGTCCCCAATGTCCCCCTGATGTCCCCATGTCCTCCATAAACCCCCAATGTCCCTGATGCCCCCGATGTCCTCAATGTCCCCAGTGTCCCCTTGTGTCTCCAGTGTTTCCCATGTCCCCACAATGTCCCCTGGCTGTCCCCACTGTCCCCAATGTCCCTTAGCTGTCCCTGGCTGTGGCTGTCCCCAATGTCCCCTGGCTGTCCCCAGTGTCTCCCATGCCCCCAATGTCCCTATGTCCCCAATGTCCCCTGGCTGTCATCCATGTCCCCTCCCTGGTTGTCACCAATGTCCCCAGTGTCCCCCTCCTGTCCTCAATGTCCCCAATGTCCCCCAGTCCCCATGTCCCCCCAATGTCCCCAGTGTCCCTCATGTCCCCACCGTCCCCTGGCTGTCATCAATGTCCCCTCCCTGGCTGTCACCAATGTCCCCAATGTCCCTGTGTCCCCCCAATGTCCCCAGTGTCCCTCATGTCCCCACTGTCCCCTGGCTGTCATCAATGTCCCCTCCTTGGCTGTCATCAATGTCCCCAGTGTCCCCCTCCTGTCCCCAATCTCCTGAATGTCCCTGATGTCCCCCAATGTCCCTGATGTCCCTGTGTCTCCTCAATGTCCCCCTGTGTCCCCAGTATCCCCCCCAATGCCTACAATGTCCCCAGTGTCCCCCTGGCTGTCCCCTCAATGTCCCCAATGCCCCTGATATCCCTCAGTCCCCACAATGTCCCCAGTGTCCCCCCCTGTGTCCCCCAGTGTCCCCCAGTGTCCCTGCTGTCTCCAAGGTGTCCCCCGCTGTCCCCTCAATGTGCCCTGGCTGTCCCCAGTGTCCCCTCAATGTCCCCAATGTCCCCTGGCTGTCACTAATGTCCCCCATGTCCTCCCACTGTCCCCTGGCTGTCCCTAATGTCCCAATGTCCCAATCCCCCCACTGTCCCCTCAGTGTCCCCAGTGTCCCCTCACCCGCTGGCCGCAGGTTCCTCAGGGCCACGTGGATGGAGAAGTTCCCGAGCTGGCAGAACTGGGGGGGGTCACAGGGGGTCACGGAGGGGTCATGGAGGGGTCACGGGGGGTCACGGAGGGGTCACAGGGGGGTGGCACCGGGACCCCCCCCAAGGACCCCCCAGTGTCCCCATGGCCCCACTGGGAACCCCCCAGCCCCCCCAAAATCTGCCCAAATCCCCCAGAGCCCCCCCAAACTCCAGTGGGACCCCCCAAACCCCCCCCCAAATCCCCCAGAGCCCCCTCAAACCCCCCCAGCCCAGCCGGGACCCCCCCAAACCCCCCCAAACCCCAGTGGGACCCCCAAACACCCCCCCCCCATGGCCCCCTCAGGCCCCTGAGCCCCCCCAAATCCCCCATGGCACCCCCAAACCCCCATCCAAGCCCCCCAAACCCCCATCCCAGTCCCCCCAAAACCCCTCAGCCCCCCAGGGCCCCCCAAACCCACTGGGACTCCCCCAAATTCCCCATCCCAATTCCCTCAGCCCCCCCCCATAGCCCCCCAAAACTCCCCATGGCCCCCTCAACCCCCCCCCCCCCCCCCCCAAACCTCCCATTCCCAGCCCCCCCCAAACCCACTGGGACCCCCAAACCCCCCCCCCACCCCAAATCCCCCATCCCAGCCCCCCAAAATGCCCCCAAATCTCCCATTCTCAGCCCCCCCAAATCCCCCCAAAATCCCCCAAAACTGCCCAAACCCCCCCAAATCCCCACTGGGACCCCCCCAAACCCCCCATGGGCCCCCCCAAACTCCCCTGAACCCCCCCAAACCCCCCACCCCAGCCCCCCCACAGCCCCCCCAAACCCACTGGGACCCCCCCCACAAATTCCCCCAAACCCTCCCCAAGCCCCCCCCAAATTCCCAATGGGCCCCCCAAAGGCCCCCAGCCCTCCCAAACCCCCCCAAACCTCCCATGGCCCCCCCAAAACCTTCCATTCCCAGCCCCCCAAACCCCCCTGAGCCCCCCCAAATCCCCACTGCGACCCCCCCAAACCCCCATGGCACCCCCAAACCCCCCTGGGCCCCCCCAAACCCCCCATGGGCCTCTCAACCCCCCCCAAACCTCCCATTCCCAGCCCCCCCAAAATCCCCCCAGCCTCACTGGGACCCCCCCAAACGCCCCCCATGTGTCCCCCCCGTGTCCCCCCGTGTCCCCCCCGTACCCACCAGGAACACGGCCAGCGCCAGCTTCACCTGCTCGTCACCGTACGCTGCGGGGACACAGCGGGGTCACAACCGGGACACACGGACAGCAGAGGGGACAGACGGACACACGGACAGCACAGGGACACAGGGACACAGGGACAGCACAGGGACACAGGGACACCAGAGGGACAAAGGGACACAGGGACAGCACAGGGACACAGGGACACAGGGACAGCAGAGGGGACAGACGGACACAGGGACAGCAGAGGGACAGAGGGACACAGGGACAGCAGAGGGGACAGATGGACACAGGGACAGAGGGGAGAGTGACACAGGGACAGCAGAGGGGACAGATGGACACAGGGACAGCACAGGGACACAGGGACAGATGGACACAGGGACAGCAGAGGGGACAGACGGACACAGGGACAGACGGACACAGGGACAGCAGAGGGACAGAGGGGCACAGGGACAGAGGGGACAGGGACACAGGGACAGCAGAGGGGACAGACAGACACAGGGACACCAGAGGGACACAGGGACACAGGGACAGAGGGACAGGGACGGGGACACGGGAGGGTCAGAACAGGGACAGACGGACAGAGGGACAGCAGAGGGACACAGGGACAGCCTGACAGATGGACACAGGGACATGGACAGATGGACACAGGGACAGAGGGGACAGCAGGGGACAGAGGGACAGACAGAGGGACAGAGGGATAGGGACAGCAGAGGGACACAGGGACAGACTGATAGACGGACACAGGGACACAGGGACAGACGGACAGACAGACACAGGGACACAGGGACCGGGACACGGCGGGGTCAGAACGGGGGACAGACGGACACAGGGACACCAGAGGGACACAGGGATAGAGGGACAGAGGGACAGGGACATGGCGGGGTCAGAACGGGGACAGACGGACAGGTAGACACAGGGACAGGGATGGGACATAGGGACAGAGGGACAGACAGACAGAGGGACAGAGGGACACAGGGACAGAGGGACAGAGGGACGGGGATGGGGACAGGAACAGGGACATGGGGGAGGCAGAACAGGGACAGAGGGACAAGGAGGGGACAGGGGGACAGGGATGGGGACAGGGGGACAGAGGGCACAGGGACAGGGGGACAGGGACACCCCCAGTGTCCCCTCCTGCGGGGGACACGGGCGCAGCAGGGACAGGGACAGCCACGCCCCCCGTGTGTCCCCTGGTGGCACAGGGGGACAAGGGGACACGGTGATGGGGACAGTGGGGACACACAGGGGACAGTGACAGGGACAGGTGACAGTGATAGGTGACCAGGACAGGTGATAGTGACAGGGACAGGTGACACTCACCTGGCGGGGTGTACAGCGGATGGTGGATGTAATGGGGACAGTGACAGGGACACACAGGTGACAGTGACACACAGTGACAGTGACAGTGACACACAGGTGACACACAGGTGACAGTGACAGTGACACACAGGTGACAGTGACACTCACCTGGCGGGGTGTACAGCGGGTGGTTGATGTAATGGGGACAGTGACAGTGACACACAGGTGACAATGACAGTGACACTCACCTGGCGGGGTGTACAGCGGGTGGTTGATGTAATACGCCATCCAGGCAGCGAAGCCCCAGTAGTAGGTGCAGTTCTGGGGACATTGGGGACACGTTGGGGACACGTTGGGGACACACGGGGTGGCCTCGGGGGGACAGGGAGGTGACCCAGGTGACAGTGACATCGGGATGATGTCACACGGGGGCGGGGCTGGGTGGGGACAGGGGTGACCCAGGTGACAGTGACACCTCAGAGATGTGGCACAGGGTCGGTGCCACAGCGGGACAGGTGGGGACAGGGACAGGGAGGGGACAGGGCGGTGACACCAGTGCTGGGGAGGTGCTGGGGTAGTGACACAGGTGACACACAGGTGACAGGGTGGTGGCACAGGTGGCACAGGTGTCCCACCTTGAAGATGCTGCGCAGGGGCACGGTGCCGTGCGAGAAGGGGATGGGGACAGGGTGGTGCCGGGGCAGTGTGGCAGTGGCAGGGGGGTGTCACAGGTGTCCCCCAGGTGTCCCAGGTGTCCCCCAGGTGTCCCAGGTGTCACCCAGGTGTCACCGGTGTCCCACCTTGAAGATGTTGCGCAGGGGCATGGTGCCGTGCGAGAAGCGGTGCACGAAGAGCGTCTCCAGCAGCCGCTTGACGTAGTGGAACGAGTGACAGCAGCACGCCAGGCTGGGGACATTGGGGACATTGGGGACATTGGGGACGCACCTGCGACGCCTCCGCCCTGTCCCCACCACCTGACCGGGGTCCCCATTAAGGGCCCTGCAACCCCCAAGTGTCCCCAATGTCCCCCCAGTGTCCCCAGGTGTCCCCAATCCCCCTGATGCCCCCAATGTCTCCCAAGGTCCCCCCAGTGTCCCCAATATCCCCTAATGTCCCCAATGTCTCCCAATGTCTCCCCGATGTCTCCCCGATGTCCCCACTGTCCCCAACGTCCCCATTGTCCCTGATGTCCCCAAACCTGCCCAATGTCCCCCCAATGCCCCCCGATGTCCCCAGGGTGTCCCCAATGTCCCGAAACCCCCACAGTGTCCCCAGTGCCCCCGAGGTGTCCCCAATGTCCCCACAATGTCCCCAGTGTCCCCAAGGTGTCCCCAGTGTCCCTGATGTCCCCAAACCCCCCCAGTGTCCCCAATGTCCCCGATGTCCCCAAATCCCCACAATGTCCTCACAGTGTCCCCACAATCTCCCCAGTGTCCCCAATGTCTCCAAACCTCCCCAGTGTCCCCGAGGTGTCCTCGAGGTGTCCCCAATGTCCCCGAGGTGTCCCCAAGGTGTCCCCACAATGTCCCCAATGTCCCCAGTGTCCCCGAGGTGTCCCCGGTGTCCCCACAATGTGCCCGGTGTCCCCAGTGTCCCCAAACCCCCCCAATGTCCCCAGTGTCCCCAAACCCCCTCAGTGTCCCCAAACCCCCCCAATGTCCCCGAGGTGTCCCCGGTGTCCCTCACTGGACCACGCGGTGCCGGCTGGCGGTGAAGTCGTAGCGGGGCCCGTACAGGAACGGCACCCGGAAATAGAACAGCAGGTAAATGAGGAGGGGACCCGCGTACTCCGTCAGGAACACCTGGACAGGTGAAGGGACACGTGAGGGACAGGTGAGGGACACCTGGGACAGGTGAGGGACAGGTGAGAGGGGACAGGGACACCTGGGACAGGTAAATGAGGAGGGGACCCGCATACTCCGTCAGGAACACCTGGACAGGTGAGGGACACGTGAGGGACACCTGGGACAGGTGAGGGACACGTGAGAGGGGACGGGACACCTAGGACAGGTGAGGGACAGGTGAGGGACAGGTAAATGAGGAGGGGACCCACGTACTCCGTCAGGAACACCTGGACAGGTGAGGGACAGGTGAGAGGGGACAGGTGAGAGGGGACAGGGACACCTGGGACAGGTGAGGGACACGTGAGGGACAGGTGAGAGGGGACAGGGACACCTGGGACAGGTAAATGAGGAGGGGACCCGCGTACTCCGTCAGGAACACCTGGACAGGTGAGGGGACAGGTGAGGGACACCTGGGACAGGTGAGGGACAGGTGAGAGGGGACAGGGACACCTGGGACAGGTAAATGAGGAGGGGACCCGCGTACTCCGTCAGGAACACCGGGACAGGTGAGGGACACGTGAGGGACAGGTGAGGGACACATGAGAGGGGACAGGGACACCTGGGACAGGTGAGGGACAGGTGAGGGACACCTGGGACAGGTAAATGAGGAGGGGACCCACGTACTCCGTCAGGAACACCTGGACAGGTGAGGGACACGTGAGGGACACCTGGACAGGTGAGAGGGGACAGGGACACCTGGGACAGGTGAGGGACAGGTGAGGGACAGGTGAGAGGGGACAGGGACACCTGGGACAGGTAAATGAGGAGGGGACCCGCGTACTCCGTCAGGAACACCTGGACAGGTGAGGGACACGTGAGGGACACGTGAGGGACAGGTGAGGGACAGGTGAGGGACACCTGGGACAGGTAAATGAGGAGGGGACCCGCGTACTCCGTCAGGAACACCTGGACAGATGAGGGACAGGTGAGGGGACAGCTGGGACAGGTGAGGGACAGATGAGGGACAGATGAGAGGGGACAGGGACACCTGGGACATGTGAGGGACAGGTGAGGGACACTCAGGGACAGGTGAGGGACAGGTGAGGGACACCTGGACAGGTGAGAGGGGACAGGGATACCTGGGACAGGTGAGGGACAGGTGAGGGACAGGTGAGGGGACAGGGACACCTGGGACAGGTGAGGGACAGGTAAATGAGGAGGGGACCCACGTACCCCATCAGGGACACCTGGGACACCCAGGAGCAGGCACAGAGGGACAGAGAGCGACAGATGGACATGGGGACACAGGGAGGTGACACAGGTGTGACACAGGTGACACAGCAGGTGGCAGGAGGTGACACAGGTGTGACACACAGGTGTCCTCACCGTGACCCAGCTGATCTGCGCCTCCCGGAAGGGGACACAGGTGACACAGGGGGGGTGACACAGGTGACAGACAGGTGACACAGGTGCCCTCACAGTGACCCAGCTGATCTGCGCCCCCAGGTCCCAGAAGGTGTCACAGGTGACACAGGGGTTACACAGGTGACAGACAGGTGACACAGGGGGCTGACAGGAGGTGACACAGGTATGACACAGGGGTTACACAGATGATACAGGTGACACAGGGAGGTGACACACAGGTGACACTCAGGTGCCCTCACCATGACCCAACCGATCTGCGCCCCCTGGTCCCGGAAGGGGACACAGGTGACACAGGGGGTTATACAGGTGACAGACAGGTGACACAGGTGACAGAGTGGGTGACAGGGGATGACACAGGTGACACAGGTGACAGAGTGGGTGACAGGGGATGACACACAGGTGACAGACAGGTGACAGAGTGGGTGACAGGGGATGACACAGGTGACACAGGTGACAGAGTGGGTGACAGGGGATGACACAGGTGACACAGGTGTGACACACAGGTGCCCTCACCGTGACCCAGCTGATCTGCGCCCCCAGGTCCCGGAAGGGGACACAAGTGACACAGGGAGTTACACAGGTGACAGACAGGTGACAAATGCGACACAGGTGTGACACTCAGGTGACACTCAGGTGACACAGGGAGGTGACACAGGTGACACTCAGGTGTGACACCCAGGTGACACAGGTGACACAGTGGGTGACAGGTGACACACAGGTGACACACAGGTGACACAGGTGACACAGGGAGGTGACACAGGTGACACTCAGGTGTGACACCCAGGTGACACAGGTGACACAGTGGGTGACAGGTGACACACAGGTGACACACAGGTGACACTCAGGTGTGACACCCAGGTGTCCTCACCGTGACCCAGCTGATCTGCGCCCCCAGGTCCCGGAAGGGGACACAGGTGACACAGGTGACACAGGGAGGTGACAGGGGATGACAGAGGTGACACACAGGTGACAGACAGGTGGCACAGGTGACACAGTGGGTGACAGGGGATGACACAGGTGACACACAGGTGACACACAGGTGACAGGTGTGACACAGGTGACACAGGGAGGTGACACAGGTGACACTCAGGTGTGACACCCAGGTGACACAGGTGACACAGGTGACACACAGGTGACACAGGTGACACAGGGAGGTGACACAGGTGACACAGTGGGTGACAGGTGACACACAGGTGACACACAGGTGTGACACAGGTGACACTCAGGTGTGACACCCAGGTGTCCTCACCGTGACCCAGCTGATCTGCGCCCCCAGGTCCCGGAAGTAGAGCGTGGCCGTGGTGCCCACGGGCAGCGACTGCAGCACATCCTCGTCCTTGAGAGAGCGCCCCTCTGCAGAGAGCACAGCTGGGCACACCTGGCACACACCTGGGCACAGCTGGGCACACCTGGGCACAGCTGGCACACACCTGGGCATGCCTGGCACACCTGGCACACACCTGGCACAGCTGGCACACACCTGGGCACAGCTGGCACACACCTGGGCATGCCTGGCACACCTGGCACACACCTGGCACAGCTGGCACACACCTGGCACACACCTGGGGACACACCTGGGCATTCCTGGCACACACCTGGCACAGCTGGGCATTCCTGGCACACACCTGGCACACACCTGGGCATGCCTGGCACAGCTGGCACACACCTGGCACACCTGGGCGTGCCTGGCACACAGCTGGGCACATCTAGGGGGTACCTGGGGCACACCTGGCATACCTAGGCACACACCTGGCATACCTGGGGGGTACCTGGGTACACCTGGCACATACCTGGGGCACACCTGGGGGGCACAGCTGACACACCTGGGCACACCTGGGCACATCCCTAGGGACACCTGGCACACCTGGACACACACTCGGGCACAGCTGGCACACACCTGGGGACACCCCTAGGGACACCTGGCACACACTTGGCACACACTTGGCACACACCTGGCACACATCTGGGCACACCTGGGGACACACCTGGCACAGCTTGGGACATCCCTGGGCACACCTTGGGGACACCTGGGGGGTATCTGAGGCCACCTGGGGACATCCCTAGGGACAGCTTGGGGACATCTGGGACCCACCTGGGGACACCTGAGGGATACCCGAGGCACCTGGGACATCCCTGGGGGACACCTGGGAGGGACACGTGTGGGGACACCTGGGGACACCCCTGGAGATGCCCGGGGACATCCCTGGGGATATCCCTGGGGACAGTCGGGGACAGCGTGGTGACACCTTGGGGACACCTGGGTCCCACCTGGGGACACCTGGAGGGGTACCTGGGGACACTCCTGGGGACAGCCAGGGACGTCCCTAGGGGACACGTTGGGGGCATCGGGGGACATCCCTGAGGGACACTCGGGGGACAGCTAGGGATAGCTGGGGACACCCCTGGGGACACGTTGGGAACAGCCCTGGGGACAGCTGGGGACACCCTGGGGACAGCAGGGACATTGGGGACAGCGGTGTCACTCACTGGGGTCCAGGCGCAGGGACTGCCTCGCTGGGTACCACTGGGGATCTGCGGGACACAGGGACAGGGACAGTGGCACCGGGGACAGCGGGGGTGGCACCATGGGGACAGGGACACCATGGGGACAGCAGGGGTGGCACCATGGGGACAGGGACACTGGCACCGGGGACAGCAGGGGTGGCACCATGGGGACAGGGACACCATGGGGACAGTGACAGTGGCACCAGGGACAGCAGGGGTGGCACCATGGCGACAGGGACACTGGCACCGGGGACAGCAGGGGTGGCACCATGGGGACAGGGACAGTGACACCATGGGGACAGTGACAGTGGCATTGAGGGGACAGCAGGGGTGGCACCATGGGGACAGGGACACTGGCACCGGGGACAGCAGGGGTGGCACCATGGGGACAGGGACACCATGGGGACAGTGACAGTGGCATTGAGGGGACAGCAGGGGTGGCACCATGGGGACAGGGACACTGGCACCGGGGACAGCAGGGGTGGCACCATGGGGACAGGGACACCATGGGGACAGTGACAGTGGCATTGAGGGGACAGCAGGGGTGGCACCATGGGGACAGGGACACTGGCACCGGGGACAGCAGGGGTGGCACCATGGGGACAGGGACACCATGGGGACAGCGGGGGTGGCACCATGGGGACAGTGACAGTGGCACCAGGGACAGCAGGGGTGGCACCATGGGGACAGTGACAGTGGCATTGAGGGGACAGCAGGGGTGGCACCATGGGGACAGGGACACCATGGGGACAGGGACACCATGGGGACAGTGACAGTGGCACTATGGGGACAGCAGGGGTGGCACTGGGGACCTGTGGGACACAGGGACAGCAGGGGTGGCACTGAGGGGACAGGGATGGTGGCACCCAGGGGACAGTGACAGTGGCACCAAGGGACAGCGGGTGGCACCCAGGGGAAAGCAGGGGTGGCACTGTAGGGACAGTGACAGTGGCACTGTGGGGACACAGCCACAGAGGGGACAGGGACAAGGAGGCCCCTATGGCCTGGTGACACAGTGACACGGCCTGGTGACATGTCCCCATGGCTCAGTGACCTGTCCCAGGCACACTGAGGGTCCCCATCTTCATCCCTGTCCCCAGCCCTGTCCCCTCCCCTGTCCCTCTCCCCATGTCCCCCACGTCCCCTCTCCCTGTCCCCCTGTTCCTGTCCCCATATCTCTGTCCCTGTGTCCCCTGTCCCTGTGTCCCCCGTCCCCATCCCCTCGGTCCCCAGTCCCCCCCTGTCCCCCTGTCCCTATCCCCTCTCCCTGTCCCCTCCCTGTCCCCACTCCTGTCCCCATGTCCCCTCCCTGTCCCCTGTGCCCCCACATCCCCATGTCCCCCCTGTCCCCTCCCTGTCCCCATGTCCCCATCCCTGTCCCCCCATCCCTGTCCCCATCCCTGTCCCCATGTCCCCATGTCCCCATCCCTGTCCCCTCCCTGTCCCTGTCCCATCCATATCCCCATCCCTGTCCCATCCATATCCCCATCCCTGTCCCCATCCCTGTCCCCATGTCCCCATCCCTGTCCCCTCCCTGTCCCTGTCCCCACTCACGGCTCTTGCTGAACAGGTTTTTGATGTCGGCCACCGTGGCCTGAGGCTCCACCTGGGGACAGCGATGGCACTCAGGGGACACACGGGGACAAGCACCAGGCCACCCCTGTCCCCTCCCAGGCCCCACCTGGGGACAGCGATGGCACTCAGGGGACACACGGGGACAAGCACCAGGCCACCCCTGTCCCCTCCCAGGCCACCCCTGTCCCCTCCCAGGCCCCACCTGGGGACAGCGATGGCACTCAGGGGACAGGGACAGCGCCAGGCCACCCCGTCCCCTCATGGCACTGTCCCCATGTGCCCGTGTCCCCTCCAGGGCTGTCCCCGTGTCCCCTGAAGCACTGTCCCCATGTCCTGCCTGTGTCCCCCGTGTCCCCCCCATATTCCCCCTGTCCCCGCCTGTCCCCCTGCTGTCCCCATGTCCCCCTGTCCCCCTGTGTCCCCACGTCCCCTGTGTCCCCCAATGTTCCACCTGTGTGCCCATGTTCCCCTGTCCCCCCTGTCCCCCCGCTGTCCCTATGTCCCCCCATCTCCATGTCCCCATGTCCCCGTGTCCCCCCATGTCCCCCTGCTGTCCCCCTGTCCCTCCATGTCCCCAGTCCCTCCATGTCCCCCTGTCCCCTCCTGTCCCCCAGCTGTCCCCCCATGTCCCTTAGTCCCCCCCTGTCCCCATGTCTCCCCATCCCCTCTTGCTGTCCCCATGTCCCCCTGGCCCCCCATGTACTCACGTCTCCCCTGCTGTCCCCGTGTCCCCCCATGTCCCCACCATGTCACCTGCTGCCCCCATGTCCGCCCGCCCCTGCTGTGTCCTCATGTCCCTTAGTCCCCCCATGTCCCCGTGTCCTCCTGTCTCCTGCTGTCCCCCCATGTCCCCATGCTCCCCTATGTCCCCCTGCTGTCCCCCTGTCCCCTCGTTTCCCCATGTCCTTTAGTCCCCCCCATGTCCCCCTGTGTCCCCATGTCCTCCCCCCATCCTCCCATGCCCCCATGCCCCCCTGTCCCTGTGTTGTCCCCGTGTCCCCTATGTCCCCATGTCCCCCTGCTGTGACCATGTCCCTGTGTCCCCCTGTCCCCCCATGTCCCCCCGACATCCCCATGCCCCCTGCTGTCCCCATGTCCCCCCATGACTCCATGTCCCCACATCCCCCTGTCCCCATGTCCCTGTGATGTCCCCCTGTCTCCTCTTGATGTCCCCGTATTCCCCTGTCCCCCTGCTGTCCCCATGTCCCCCTGCCACTCCATGCCCCCCTGTGTCCCCATGTCCCCCTGTCTGCTCTTGCTGCCCCATGTCCCCCTGTCCCTCCATGTCCATATGTCCATGTCCCCCTATGTCCCCCTGGCCCTCCATGCCCATATGTCCCCGTGTCCCCCCATGACCCTTAGTCCCCTCATGTCCTCCTGTCCCTCCATGTCCATATGTCCATGTCCCCGTGTCCCCCGTGTGTCCCTTAGTCCCCCCATCCCCATGTCCCCAGTCCCCCAGCTGTCCCCCCATGTCCCCCCATATGCCCATGTCCCCCTGCCACTCCATGCTCCCCTGTGTCCCCATGTCCCCCTGTCTGCTCTTGCTGCTCCATGTCCCCCTATGTCCCCCTGGCCCTCCATGTCCCCCCATGTCCCCCCATGACCCTTAGTCCCCTCATGTCCCCCTGTTCCCCCCTGTCCCCACATCCCCCTGTCCCCCTACATCCCCCTGTCCCCCTCTGCTGTCCCCATGTCCCCCCATGTCCCCATGTCCCCCTGTCCCCCCATGTTCCCCTATGTCCCTGTCCCCCCTGTCCCCCTGTCCCCCTATGTCCTCCTGTCCCCCTCTGCTGTCCCCATGTCCCCCTGTCCCCCCATGTTCCCCTATTTCCCTGTTCCCCCTGTCCCCCCATGTCCCTCTGTCCCCCCATGTTCCAATTTCCCCACATCCCCCTGCTGTCCCCTCGTGTCCCCCTGTCTCTCCATGTCCATATGTCCCCCTGTGTCCCCTGAGTCCCCATGTCCCCCTGTGCCCCCATGTTCCCCTATGTCCCTGTTCCCCCCTGTCCCCCTATATCCCTCTGTCCCCCCATGTCCCCCTCTGCTGTCCCCATGTCCCCCCGTGTCCCCATGTCCCTGTGTCCCTTCACCACCCCCTGTCCCCCTATATCCCTCTGTCCCCCCATGTCCCCACATCCCCCTGTCCCCCTATGTCCTCCTGTCTCCCTCTGCTGTCTCCATGTCCCACCATGCTGTCCCCATGTCCCCCCGTGTCCTCATGTCCCCTTGTCCCCTCTTGCTGTCCACGTCTCCCCATGTCCCTGTGTCCCCGTGTTCCCCCATGTCCCCCTGTCCCTCCATGTTCCAATTTCCCCACATCCCCCTGTCCCCCCCATCCCCTGTGTCCCCCTGCTGTCCCCTCGTGTCCCCCTGTGTCCCCCCGTGTACCTTGTCCAGGAAGCACAGCTTGTCCCTGGTCCTGGCATCCAGGATCTCCACCTCGAAGAAGAGCAGCGCCGCTTTCCGGGGCCGCCTCCCGGGAGGGGCCACCGGGGGCCACAGCCCGGCCACGGCCACCGGGGCCACCCCCGCGGCCACCGCCGGGGCCACCGCCGGGCCACCCCCGCGGGGCGCCACCGCCACCTCCATGGCCCGAAACCCGAAACCCGATCGGCCCCGCGGCCGCTAAATATAAACGCACCCCCCCCCCGTGGCATTTGGTGGCCCCTGGTGGCCCTGGAGGTGGCCCCAGGGTGGCCCTGGAGGTGGCCCCAGGGTGGCCCTGGATGTGGTCCGGGAGTGGACAGAGGTGGCCCTGGAAGTGGCCCCGTGGTGGCCCGGGGGTGGCCCTGGAGTGGACGGGGGTGGCCGTGGCGGTGGCCCCATGGTGGCCCTGGGGTAGCCTTGGGGTGGCCCAGGGGTGGCCCTGGAGGTGGCCCCATAGGTGGCCACGTGGTGGCCCTGTGGTGGCCCGGGTTTGGCACCAGGTGGCCCTGGAGGTGGCCCTGGAAGTGGCTTTGCAGTGGGCCCATGGTGGCACCTGGTGGCCCTGTGGTGGCCCTGAAGGTGGCCCTGGAGCGGCCTCGTGGTGGCCCAGGAGGTGGCCCCGTGGTGGCCCCATGGTGGCCCCATGGTGGCCCTGGAAGTGGCCCCGTGGTGGCCCCGTGGTGGCCCTGAGGTGGCCCAGGGGTGGTTCTGGCGGTGGCCCTATGGTGACCCTGGAGGTGGCACTGGGGAGGTGACACTGCCATAGCAGGAGGTGACACTGGAAGGGTGACACTGCCATGGGGGCAGGTGACACTGGGGGGGGGGGGGTGACACTGCCACGGGGAAGAGGGTGACACTGGCGAGGTGACACTGGGGAGGTGACACTGCCACGGGGGGCAGGTGACAGTGACAGCTCCGTGGGCCACCAGAGCCGTGCCCGGGAGCCACCCCGGGGCACGGTGACGGTGACAATGGCGCTCGGGGGGTGACAGCGGGATCGTTCCGGGGTCACCGCGGCCCCTCAGGGCCCTGCTGCGACCGCGGGGGCGGCCCGGGACCCTCGGGGACCTTCCAGAACCTTCCGGGACCCTCCGGGACCACCGAGAGCACGGGGACCACAAGCCCCGCCCCTTTTCACAAGACCCCGCCCACCCCCAAGAGACCACGCCCCATTCGGACTAAGCTCCGCCCCGCCGCCCACAGCAGTCGCTCCGTGACGCGCATGCGCACATCGCGACGCCCACCGCGCATGCGCACAGCGCGTCCCGGTTGCCCCAGGGCGGAACGCGCGGGTTCCGCGGGGCCGCCGCGATGGCGCCGTGCGGGACCGGCGGCGCCGGAGGCTCGGGGCCTCTCCGGTGTCGGTGTCCGGCCCGGGCCGCGGGCAGCGCGGCCGCCTCACCTCGTAGTGCTTCATGGCCGCTCCGCTCCGCCGCTCCCGCCGCCCCCGCCGCCCCCACGTGACCCGCCCCCTCAGGCCCGCCGGGGGGCGGGGCCTGCGGCTCGGCCAATCGGCGCCGCGCGCGTGGCTCGGCGCGGCCAATCGGAAGGCGGCGGTCCCGCCCGCGCGCTCGCCCCTTTCCCGCCGCGCTGGTTGCCGCGGCAACGCGAACGCCCGAGGGGGAATCCGCCAATGGGAGGGCGAGGGCGGGGCATGGAGTGACGGAGAGTGCAACCAATGGGAGCGCAGAGGGGGCGGGGCGGAGGGTGGAGTGGTGTCAGATCATCCAATGGGGTCGCGTCAGGGGCGGGGCAAACACCGCATGGACTCTGGGGGGTCATGGAGGGGGTCTGGGAGTGGGGGGGTCAAAGTGGGCCTGGGGGGCTTCGGGGGGCTGGGGGGGTCATGGGGGGTTTGGGGGGTCAAAGGGGTCATGGGGGGCTCTGGGGGGTGAGAGGGCCATGGGGACTGGGGTCTGTGGGTTTGGGGGTCATGGGGGGTCAAAGGGGGGCTGGGGGGTTTGGAGGGTGGGGGGGGTCATGGGGACTGGGAGGGGTCCCAGGGGACTGGGGGGGGTCTGTGGTTTGAGGGGTCCAAGGAGTTTTGGGGGTCTGGGGGGGTCATGGGGGGCGGGGTCATGGGGGGGTCTGGGGTTAGGGGAGGTCAAAGGGGGGCTGGGGGGTTTTGGGGCTGGGGGGTTCACAGGAACTTGGGGGGGGTCACAGGCACTGGGGGTCCGTGGGGTTTGGGGGATCTGAGGAGTTTTGGGGGGTCTGGGGGGCCATGGAGGGCAGGGGGCCGTGAGGAATGGAGGGGTCACAAGGACTGGGGGGCTCTGCAGTTTGGGGGGTCCGAGGGGGCTGCAGGGTCTGGGGGTTCTGGGAGTGTTCAAGTGGCCTGAAGGGTCACAGAGGAGCTCAGGAAATGGGGGGGGCAGGGGAGGACACCCAGGGGATGGGGGGGACACCTGGGGGTCATGGGGGGCTGGGATGGTCATGGCAGGCTGGAGAGTCCTGGGGACACCATGGGGACAGCATGGGGACACCGTGGGGATGGGGACAGCATGGGGACACTGTGGGGATGGGGACAGCATGGGGACAGCATGGGGACACTGTGGGGATGGGGACAGCATGGGGACAGCATGGGGACACGCTGGGACACAGATCAGGGTGGGGTAGGTCAGACCCTACAGGCCCAGGGGGATGTGGCAGGGCTTGGGGACACTTGGGGACACTTGGGGACACAGGGACTGTGGGGGCATGGGGACACTTTGGGACATTGGGACACAGGGGACATTGGGACACAGGGACTGTGGGGCCATGGGGACACTTTGGGACATTGGGACACAGGGGACATTGGGACACAGGGACTGTGGGGCCATGGGGACATTTTGTGACCCAGGGGACACTTTGGGACACAGGGGACATTTTGGGACCCAGGGGACACTTTGGGACACAGTGACCATGCGGCCATAGGGACTCCTGGCCATGGGGACAATGGGGTGGGGGGGCCGGTTCCTCTCTGTGTCCCCATGTCCCCTTGGCCACCTGTCCCCAGGTGTCCAATAGCCTTGTCCCCATGTCCCATGTCCCCATGTCCCATGTCCTGTGTCCCCATGTCCTGTGTCCCCATGTCCTACGTCCCTGTGTCGCCGTGTGCTGTGTCCCCCATGTCCCCATGTCTCCCTGTGTCCTGTGTCCCCTTGTCATCCCTGTCCCCATGTCCTGTGTCCCCATGTCCCCGTGTCCCTCCATGTCTCCATGTCCCCGTGTCCTCCCTGTCCCCATGTCCTGTCCCCCCATGTCCTGTGTCCCCATGTCCCCCCATGTCCCGTGTCCTGTGTCCCCACATCCTGTGTCCCCATGTCCTCCCTGTCCTCCTGTGTCCTCCCTGTCCCCATGTCCCCCTGTGTCCCCATGTCCCATGTCCTGTGTCCCCACGTCCTGTGCCCACATGTCCTATGTCCCTGTGTCACCATGTCCTGTGTCCCCATGTCCTGTGTCACCATGTCCTCCCTGTCCCCATGTCCTGTCCCCCCATGTCCCCTGTGTCCCCATGTGCTGTGTCCCCATGTCCTGTGTCACCATGTCCTCCCTGTCCCCATGTCTCCCCGTGTCCCCATGTTCTGTGTCCCCTTGTCCCCTTGTCCTCCCTGTCCCCATGTCCTGTACCTCCATGTCCCCTTGCCCACCTGTCCCCAGGTGTCCAATAGCCGTGTCCCCATGTCCCCATGTCCACCCGTGTCCTTTGTCTCTGTGTCCCCATGTCCCCCCGCCATGTCCCTATGTCCTTCTGGTCCCCATGTCCCCATGTCCCAGTGCCCCCGTGTCCATCCCATTCCCATCCCCGCTCCCTCCGGTCCATCCCTGTTTCCATCCCCGTTCCCATCCCCGTTCCCATCCCCGGTTCCTCCCCGGTCCATCCCGTTCCCGTCCCCTTCCCATCCCCGTGTTTCCCTCCCTGGTTCCTCCCCGGTCCATCCCCGCTTCCCCCGGTCCCTCCCCCGTCTCTTCCGGGTGCATCCCCGTTCCCATCCCCGTTCCCATCTCCGTTCCCATCCCCGTTCCCATCCCCGTTCCCATCCCGGTCCCATCCTGTTCCCATCCCGTTCCCATCTCCGTTCCCATCCCCGTTCCCATCCCGGTCCCGTCCTGTTCCCATCCCGTTCCCATCTCCATTCCCATCCCCGTTCCCATCCCGGTCCCGTCCTGTTCCCATCCCGTTCCCATCCCCATTCCCATCTCTGTTCCCATCCCCGTTCCCATCCCGGTCCCGTCCTGTTCCCATCCCGTTCCCATCTCCGTTCCCCCCGGTCCCTCCCCGGTCCCTCCCCGTCCCCTCTCCCTCTCTCCTTCCCAATCCCCTCCCGGTCCCTCCCCGGTCCCTCCCCGTTCCCATCCCCAGTTCCTCCCCGTTCCCATCCCTGTTACCGCCGGTCCATCCCCGTTCCTATCCCGTTCCTATCCCGTTCCCCCCGGCCCCTCCCCGTCCCCTCTCCCTCCCTCCTTCCCGATCCCCTCCCGGTCCCTCCCTGGCTCCAGCCCCGGTGCCTCTCCCGGTTCCTCCGCCCCTCTGCCCCCGCGCCCTCTCCCGACCCCTCCTCGTCCCCTCCGCTCCTCTCCCGGTCCCTCCCCGGTCCAGCCCTCTCCCCCTCCATCTCTCGGTCCATCTCCGGTCTCTCCCCCGTTCCATCCCCGGTCCCTTCCCGCTCCATCTCCATCCATCCCCGCTCCATCCTCGGTCCCTCCCCGGTCCTTCCCTCTCCCTGTCCATCCCCGCTCCGTCCCCACCCATTCCCCGGTTTTTGCCCGGTCCCTTCGAGGTCTCTCTCCAGTCCCTCCGCGTTCCATCCTCATCCATCCCCGGTCCCTTCCCACTCCATCCCCATCCATCCCATCCATCCCCGGTCCCTTCCCGATCCATCCCCATCCCTCTCTCCATCCATTCCCGGTCCTTTCCCGCTCCATCTCCATCCATCCCCATCCATCCCCGGTCCCTTCCCACTCCATCCCCATCCATCCCATCCATTCCCGGTCCTTTCCCGCTCCATCTCCATCCATCCCCATCCATCCCCGGTCCTTCCCTGATCCTTCCCCGGTCCCTCCTCCGGTCCATCCCCGCTCTATCCCCAGTCTCCGCTCCATCCCCGACCCTCCCTGGTGCCTCCCCTGGTCCATTCCTCTCCCCCGGTCCCTCCCCGCTCCATTCCCGATCCCTCCCCGATCCCTCCCACTCCCTCCCCGATCCCTCCCCGCTCCATCCCCATTCCTCCCCGTCCCTCTCATCCCTCCTCGGTCCCTCCCCATCCCTCCCTCTCCATCCCGGTCCCTCCCCATCCCTCTCCATCCCTCCCCATCCCTCTCCATCCCTTTCCATCCCTCCCCATCCCGGTCCCTCCCTCCCCATCCCGGTCCCTCCCCGGTCCCTCCCCGTCCCCCCCCCGCCCCTCGGGGCTCCCTCCCCGTGCCCGTCCCGCGGATCCTCGCCGTGCCCGGTGCCAGAGCAGCGGGGGCGGCCATGGGCAAGGATTATTACCGCACGCTGGGGCTGTCCCGGGGGGCCTCGGCCGCCGACATCCGCCGCGCTTACCGGCGGCAGGCGCTGCGCTGCCACCCGGACAAGGACCGGTCCCCGGGGGCCGAGCAGCGCTTCAAGGAGGTGGCCGAGGCCTACGACGTGCTCAGCGACCCCAAGAAACGGGAGATCTTCGACAAGTACGGGGAGGAGGGTGAGCGGCGGCACCGGGGGGACGGCCCGGGGGCAGGGCACGGGGTTGGGGGGCACGGGAGGGGTGAGGGGGTAGGTGGGGAGGGGGTCCGGGGGGCACGGGAGGGGCAGAGAGGGGGTGAGAGGGTCCAGGGTTAGGTGGGGAGGGGGTCTGGGGGGCACGGGATGGGGTGAGGGGGTAGGTGAGGAGGGGTCTGGGGGGCACGGGATGGGCAGAGAGGGCGTGAGAGGGTCTGGGGTAGATTGGGAGGGAGCTCGGGGGCAGATGGGGAGGGGGTCTGGGGGGCACGGGAGGGGTGAGGGGGTAGGTGGGGAGGGGTCTGGGGGGCACGGGAGGGGCAGTGAGGGGGTCAGGGGGTCCAGGGTTAGGTGGGGAGGGGTCTGGGGGTCACGGGAGGGGCAGGTGGGGGTGAGGGTGGGGGGCTGAAGGGGAGATTGGGGGGAGAGAGTGAGGGGTGGGGGGCTTGGGGGGTGACAGCAAGGAAGGTGAGGAGGTGAGAGGGTGGGGGACAGGTGAGGGGGGCAGGTGACAGGGACAGGTGACAGGGCCAGATGAGGGGGACAGATGAGGGGACAGGGGGTGAGGACAGGTGACAGGGACAGGTGAGGGGGACACGGGGTGAAGACAGGTGAGGGGACAGGTGACACAGACAGGTGAGGGGACAGGTGACACGGACAGGTGAGGGGGGCAGGGGACAGCGAGGACAGGCGCCAGTGCCAGGTGCCAGTGCCAGGATCGGCGGCTGGGGGCGGTGGGCACACACGGGAGGGTGGGCTCAGGG